GAGGCTTCTAGGGTTTGTGCAGGGGTGCAGTTCGCTTTAACGATCAGGGACCTAACGAGCAGGCTCACAGCTTCGGTCAGGACATGTATATTGGATATTTCAGGTCTAATGACAAGTACCAAGGTACCTTGAATCTAGCAGATCTTCCAACATGTACAGGCTTGGTGGATCGTTCCCTTGGGCGTACCAACTGCCAGCAATTCTTCAGCTGGGAACCAAGCCGAAGTCTGAGCCGCGCAGTGCAGAATTTGATTCAGGTGTATTCAGGTCATCACTTCCTGGCAGCTTCCTGCGCCAAGTCAGCATCAACATTCTATTCGTTCCTACCCCCAAATCCCTAAACCCGCAAACCCTAAAGTGCGAAGTTGGGCCTCGATGCGGATAGACGGTAGTGACATTTGGGCGTTTCAGAAAAGTAGGGGTACCGTATTTTGGGCTCCTTCTAAAAAGGATCCTATTATTTAGAGTACTATACTAAGGTCCCCTATTGTTGGAAACTCCCATTTGAGAATGGCAGCAAAGGTCAGAAGCATCACCGAGGGGCTTGGTGGTGTTGTTGCGTAGGCATCTGCGCAGCCTGCAGGTAAGAAGTTCATGTTGCAACTGCCTTCAACCGATGATGACTGTGTGGAGAAAGTGGAAAGACAAAGGAAACCACATAAGATGACAACCGTCAACAATTCTGAACCTGGACCACCTCCCCAAAGCACTTGAATACAACCGTCAGCACGGTTTGGTGCAGGGCAGGTGCTCTTTGAGGGCTCATGTGTTGTTTTCCTCATGTGTTGTTTTCATCATATCGCGCAGGACCAGGTGGACGCGATCGCAGAGGAGATCAACCAGCGGATCATTGATGCCTGCCAGTTCCACAAAATCAAGATGCTTGGCAGCTTAGAAAAGCCAGACAAGACGCCCCTTGCAGATGTTTCTTGGTGTCATAGGGAAGATGGATACGGGAGGTTCTGCGTGCGCTGTACTGACCCGTTCGATTTGTTGCTAACAAAGCCGAGCCAACTTCCCAATGTTCGCTCCAAAGCTTAAGCGGTTTATAGAGCACAGGACGATCTGCTATCTGTGCTGTTGACCTTGACAAGGTTTGGCACTTTAGGGCTTCCAGGGTTTAGAGTGGTTGCAGGTTTGCGGTCGGAGTGGGGTGTATGGCTAGATGCTTCCCATCAATGAACCTTTTGCGGTGTTGGGCACATTCCTCAGCCAAAGGGTGTTGGCGACTGGAGTCCCTCCCAGAGGGTCCAAGTACCCAAATGGTAGGGTTTTGGGTCCCAAAATCCATACTCTGAATGGTTGTTGGACCACGAAACTCTACTGTTTGGGCACTTGGACCCTCAGAGTCTGGTAATGGCAAGTTTATGGACGGTATGCCCAGGAACCAAACAACAAGCCCTGGACTAAAGAACTAAAAACACCAAGCCGCAACTAAAGAATGGATTTTGGAGTCAGTTGAGCAACTGGGCTTCCGTGCGGTTTTAGAGTTTAGCCGTGGGAAATCCCCTCAACAACGTTGTTTGACACGTTTGTTTGCATAGGGGTTGGATTGCGAAGAAAGGATTGCGAAAGATGAGACGTCCATCGTTTTCTTGGATCCGGACGAAGACGACGAGTAGTAGGCGAGGCTTTTCAATGGCTTAGAGTCTAGGGTTCATCCATAAGCGTCTATACTATACGTCTTGTTTACGGTGTGGAGTGTTTTTCTGAGGCTTGGTTTTGAGTGCTTAGATGTTGAGTGCTTAGATGTTGTGTTTGCGTCAGAGATACCTATGTTCTTCGGGGTTTTTGGTTGGTTATGTTATGCTCCTCTGGAGATTTTAACTTATGTGTGTGACTTGGAGTTTAGAGGCACGGCTTAGGAAGCAACCCGCAGCTACAACCGAAAAACGGACAAGTATTTCCACTTAGACTCTGTAGGCCCCCAAAGCAGAAGTATCGTGAACAGTCGCTTAGCCACAATATCATTACGGACTTTGAACCACAACTCGCAGTTGCCCTAGTCAAGATCTTACTTACAAAGTCCCCTAGAATGCAGAGCTCTTTTGGCGAACCCAGTTTTCATGGGCCTTGATGTGTGAATAATTCCTATTGGATTCAGAAGACCCATCCTCCATAGACTGGGGATCCTACGTTGGAAAAGGAGAAAAGAACTTGCAAAGCATTTGCTTAGGCCTTGTTTGGGCTCCTTGCGCTGCTGACCTTTTGCTTCGGTCCTTTGTTGGGCTTTTTGTGCTGTTGTTTGCGAGCTTCTGCACCTTCTGCTGGCATGTGGGATCTGGGACGCAGACTTTTTGTGTCCCAAACTTGCATCCCAAATCCGGATGTCTAAAAGACTTGAAACCCCTAAACCCTTAAAGGAACTCTAGAGCCCGAACCCCTCACTCTTCCAGTCTTTGAAGCCCAAGCATACTACCCCCAAGGGCCCCAAAGCCCCCGAAACGACCACAAACCCTTGAACCCGAGACACCTAGATCGTTGTGCGAGCATTGAGGCGAAATCCTGAAATCCTAGAGCCTCAGGTCCTAGATCTTGATCTGAACCCAAAGACTAGTCTCGGGCTTAGGGTTTAGACTGCTTCACGGTGACGGTTGCGCCGGGTGAGAGAAGCCTGCTGCAAAAGGGCTATAAACTCAGTCCTGAACAGCTTTACCCTGAACCCTTGACCCTTAAACCCTTAAACCCTTACCCCGAAACCCTAAACCCTAAACTGGTCAGGGTGTGCTGACGGAAAAAGGTGCTTAAAAAAAACAAAACCCTGACCAGTTTTGCCGTGAGGCGCTTCCTTGCCGAGAGCCCAGGGAGGCGCAGAAGGCCATCGGCTCAGGATCCTCGCTGGGTATCTCAGGTGTGCTTTGAAATACTTGGGTTTAGTTTGGAGTTTTTTTGATTTCTGGTTACAGGAACAGCCGCAAGTACGCATAGGTTTTTACTAGGGTACGAGGGGCTGCAGTTCAGTACAGGTAACGGAACAGCTGGCAGCCCAGAGCTGTCTTCACATGTCCTTACAGTGGCCCTGGCAAAGGATGTCAGAAGATAAACAATAAAACAAACAGCAGAAAAGCAGACGCATTAAATCGGTGAGCATTTACCGCCCAAATCGTCTCCTTTTGTCTGGGATTGTCCAAGCTCCTTCCTTGCGTGTCTCCGAGATCTTGCAGCGAGCGAAACGATGAACTCGTCAGCAGTTTCCAGTGGAATCCTAGCAGCGGTCGAGGTAACCCAGTTTTTACAGAACCGAGCGTTTGGAGTTGCTTTGACGGTTCAACGGTAAAGCTTCGCACTAATGTGCGAAACCCTAAGCCACTCAACCCTAGTCCTCCAATGTGTTGTTGTGTTCAGGATAGAAGATCTGGCAGGAGCATCTTGTTCGACCAGAAGCCTAAGCTTGAGAGCTCTTCCTAAACCGTGACTGAACCCAGAGCCCTTAAACCCCCCAAAACCTAGCAAAAGTGCACGGCTGATTTAAGATCCTTCACCCCTAAACCCTCACATCCAAAAGCACTTGGCGAGTCAGCAACCCCTATGTTGCGGCAGGCACGAACTTAAACGATGCTGCTCCAAGAAACACTAGGTTCCTGAGTGATACCCTTTTGCACTTCTTGTTTTAGGGTCCCCTCAATAAATAAAGCCGAGTAGCAGGAAAAAGGGCACCGTTATCATGAAGGGGCTACTCAGGAACATAGTAGCTACAGGGCCACAACCCTGGCACCCCATCAGTTTCAGGGTCTGCTTATGACTAGCTGCACAAGTGAAGCTTCATTCTCAAAAGGCTGCGGTACAATCTAGTGCCGTTCTTCAAGCAATGCAAAGACTTCCGCAGACGTTGAGGCCAATGTCTTGAAACTCCAATCCCCAACACAGCCTAGGCCCAAAAACCCATGTAGAACCCTGGTCGCGTTGATATGCTGTCAGATCTTTCTTTTGGCGCCAGTGCGGGGGGGATCATGTAATATTCTTGGTTAGCGAACATGACTACTCACCAGAACCCCGTGCTTCCAAGCGTCCTGATGTCCGCGAACGGTTCAAGGTTTTTCGGGCCGAAAGTCCTGAACCCTAAACCTGGCTGACCGAGAAGGGCCTTAAGCAAAACGAAACTAAAAGCGAGGGTTTATTATGGTACCCGAACCCGACACCCTAAAACTCAACCCTCGCACCCTAAACACAAAGCCACTAAGCCCTATAAGCCTTTGCTTTCTAGTACCAGGTGATGTCCTTTGGACCTTCGCGGGCCGCGTACCGCCCAGCGCATCAGAGAAGAAAAGCTTTCATTGCTGATCTGTTCTCAGATGAGGGGTAATAGGGTCTCTTTACAGGGTTCAGGGTTTTAGAGGGCTTGGGCTAGAAGCCCATCTACCTGTAGCTATAGCACTTCATACAAGCCCGTGTGCAAGTGTCGTATTTGTTTACCTAACTTTTACAGGTTCCTGGACAGCTATGGGGTGTTTCTCAAAACCACTTCAGGTCTTTTTGCCTAGTGTGCCTGAACGTTAAGTTTAAGTTGCCATATTAGGGATCCATAGTAAATGGTACGGCCTTCTTATGATGGTACCCCGTAAACCTGACCGAGCCCGGGTGGTTGAATACTCCGGGCTCCCAGCCCCGGATGTCGGCGACTTACTCTTACTCTGATTAGGGTTTGCAGTGTAGGAAACAAGATCAGGCTGTAGCAGTTTTGGGGTTCAGGATAGTTTAGTTCAGACGATTTGGGATTGGTTTTAAGGTTGAAGTTTTGGGTCTTTGGGGTCCGAAAAGATTGGGTCTGGTCAGGCTCTAAGGTTGCAGCTTGAGGGGATCTTGGCCGGCCTTGAAGAGAGACCTATGTAGCTCTGCCAAAGGTAGGTATTTGGACTTGCTTTCCTAGTGATCAAATAACCTTAGAGCTAACTTGAGGCGTTTTTTGGGACTCTTAGGGTTTTCAATAAAATCCCTAAACCCCGAAGCCTGAACCATGCCAGTCATTCCCACAACTGCGACTCTTTCGTCGCCCTGCGCAGGCATCAGCTCGTCCGGAAAAGGTGGCTGCCTTGGTTTGAGAATTGATCCTCATGTAAGGGTTGCTATACGCATGACTCCCAGGGTTGCTATGCGACTATATCATTTACTCTGCGTTGTTATAAAGCTTACTATCAGGTTTTCTATAGGAAGTCTACGGCTAAGGTTTATAGTCATAGTTATAAGTCCTTCACCGGAGGTTTCGACGCAAAGTACTGTTGACAGAGTCCGATTCGGTCCCCAGGTCAGCCTGTTTAACACCTAGGTTCCTGAGTGGTACTCTTTTGGCCTTTTTGTTTTAGGGCCCCCTTATCAAAACCGAATAGTAGTGAAAGGGTACCCTAATTATCAAGCGGCTATTCTCGAACCTACATAAGCCTTTTCTTCCTAGCATCGACGACGGGCCCTCTAGCAGCCTTCTTCCGTATACCCTTATAAACCCTGCCCCTATTCCTGAACGTTCAGAAACCCCCATAAGGCTCATATGCTCTAAACTCTGAGCCATATATATATATATATATATATATAAACCTTTAACCCCTGCAAGCTGACGGCTTTACTCGAGAGCTTCGGGCTGCCCGAGACGATGACCGGTTCGACTGCTGCTCTCATCCCTAAACCCTAAACCCTTCTCCCATTCGCAGAGCCTTCCGGAGCAACGCCAAAAAAAACGCCAACCTCCGCACGGAGGTCGCATGGCGCAATGCCAAGTGCGAGGTGAAGCTGGCCCAGTTCCGGGCGAGGCGAGGATGTCTTTGTCAGGTCAGCCTGAGAACCACATGGGTAGTTGTCAAAAATTAAGGTCATGTTTTGGGTACCCTAAACAATAGGTGCCGTATTATAATAGGGACCAAAAAAGGGACCATAATTTTGACAACCACCCACATGTGTCTCCTGGCCCAGCGCCTGCTGGGAAAGCTGGCGTGGCTGAAGTCCCTTGGAGCAGGCGAGCAAACCCTAAGGCCCCAAAGTAGTTCCTTTTTGGATTATAGGATTCTATATACGAACCCCAAAAAGGAACTACTTTGAGGCCTTAGGGAAGCTCCGGGCTGGCCGCCAAAGTGCAGGCGTCCGTCTCCGGCCTAGGCAGTGCCGGTGCCAGTGGCGCGGCAGGACAGGTGGTTTCAGGGTTTATCCCTCGAAGCTCGAGTTGTGCGTAGTGCGTGACCTTACCAACTGCCATCCCGAACACAACTCGAGCCGAGCATGTAGTGTGGCACGAACCGAGAGACCTCGTCTGGCAAGTCCGAGTTGAGAGCGTAAACCCTACCTTTAAACCAGATGCTCTAAACCACAACCTGTGATATGAGGCAAGTTTAAGCCATGTTGAGGAAGCATTGGGTATTGGGTTCTTTGTTGTGTAGCCAAATACATGTTTTGTAACCCTTACAGTATCCCTCACAGACCCCTTCTAGCAGCCCTTGTAGGACCGAACCCTCCAAAGCAACCCCTATAGCTAGCCTTGCAGGATGTTGGAAAAGGAGCCCTTTAACAGAACTCTTAGTGCATCCCCTATACCGCCGCTTAAAGGACCCCTTTAAAGGAGCCCCGAAACCCTTAAAGGAACCCTTCAAGAACCCTTTATAGGAGCCGTAGTCTCAAGGAAGCCATCGGGCTCCCTGTCGGTGCGGTGCCGAGCAGGCGAAGCTGAATGCTTCCAGGGCTTGAGGCTTGGGTTTGCGGTTTAGGGCCAGTTTAGCTGCTGGAGCTTCACGGGCGACAAGTACGAAGCCTGTTGCAAAAGGGCCGGTTTCGGGTTTGTGGGCCAGCATAGTGTGCTTGGCTTTAGGGTTTGGGGTGTAGGCGATGTCTTAGAAGCTGCCCCCACCCTGTACTAGTGGTATAGTAGGAATATAATAGGGCCCTAATATAGTCCTATATGATCCTTATAGTCACTATTACAGGGTGGGGGCCCCTTCTAAGCGATGTCTCACATTTTGGCTAAAAGCTTGGGCGAGTATAAGGCCCCACAGCTAACATCTTTGGGGTTGGCTCTCAAATTTAGGGCTGATGGTGTGTCGGATCGAGGACCCCAGGTTCAGGATTCGAATACCCCTTAATAATTAATTAAGGAATAGACCTTAAATCATCTAAGGGATCCTACCATAATTTAAGGAATATTCCTTAATTAAGGGATATTGGAGTCTCTGGGAGGTTCAGGATTCGAACCTGTCTCTTTCAGGGTCTACAAGGGGCTTTAGGCCGGAAGTATAGTGGGGCTTGAGGTATTCAAAGGTTTGGGGTTAAGGCTTCTGTTTGGGAGGTCGAGTGAAGAGTTCGGGGCGGCGTAGTGAACTGCGAAACCCAAACCCAAAATTCGAAGCCCGAAAACCTGAACGCTAAACCCGAAACGCCCTAAACCTGAAACCGTTAATCTGAAAGCCTCGACCCAAGCTTGGCGGTGAGAGCGTCAATTTGCAGTGATCAAGGCTTGAAGTTGAGGTTGCTAATGGTCGTGGGACGTGTTAGATTATAGTGTAACATTGCCCCCAAGCTTCGATTCTAACGAAGGCTTTTCTGGTAGGGTTTAGGTTTATGGGTTTAGAGTTTAACCGGATACAATACTGTTCCTGAAAGAGAATCCAGTTTTTCCAGAATCATGGATTGCCGGAGTCGGTTTGCAGCGAAGGGTTTCCGGCAGTGTGGAGCTTCGAGCCTGCATCCCTGCCAGTACAGTGGCAACGACACTCTAGCTGAGCAGCGTGTGATTCAAGCCAGACCAGCAACACTCACATGAACCGTGGTGCCAAAAGACGGAAGGCTAGCCATGCACATGTGGCCGTCTAAATGCTTCGGAAAATTTAGTGGAGAATACTGGGTGTCTCTACCCATCTGTCTTGTGCCTATCATTTCGACTTTTCATCAGCATGGGACATTTATGTGGAGTACCATGTTTGCAACGGAACCCATGTGGAGTGTCTGGCTGGCTGCCAATGCAGGCAATGACCCAGGCTGTTATGTTAATCTCAACATGCTCACTTGGATGCACATGTACGCCCCCTCAACTGAACATGGACGTGCTAGTTGGGCATACTGCCAGCATGACTATGCACGTACCTTTTGCTAGTCGGCAATTTAGTTTCAGACGAGTTATATAGGTCCTAGATCTGTACTTCAAGGGCGGGTCATCAATGCACAAAGACTTTATGACTTTCCGCCAATGTTGATTCATACGACACTGGACGATCGGCAATATCTGCACGATGCAGGAAAATCAGTTGGCGGTTGAACAACCACATAAGTTCTGACTACATGTGTCTGTGGGTTGCAATGTCTCTGCCCTTCCGAGTACCGTGTGTGCATCTACCATGGTGTGCTTAAATCCCAAACCCCAGTGCATAGCCATCCCTAACCTCCAACCGCTAGATCGTCAAGCTTTCACACTCAGAATCCCAACCCTGGACACACTATTTTCCATACCCCGAAGCATTACCCCGCAAAGCTTGAGCCCTAAAGCCCAAAACTCTAAAGCCAGAATGATGCCGACTGGTAGACCTCCAACTCCCAACCCAACCCAAGCACCTACACCGTGCAACCTTTCGGGAGGACACAGCTGCGGACGCCTTTAGAGCGGTCCCTAAAAACAGGTCCACTGCAGCGACATGGGAGTTTCCCAAAATAGGGGACCCCAATATGGTACCCTATATAGTAGGATCCTTATTATAAGGGCCCCCAAATAAGGTACCCCCAATTTTCGGAAACTCCCACATGTTAGTTTTGACTTCGGGATATCGGGATGGCAAGGTTGGATTCAGTATATGGGTAGTTGTCAAAAATCAGGGTCCCTTTTTGGGTACCCCAAATAATCGGTGCCGTATTATGATAGGGACCCAAAAAGGGACCATAATTTTGACGACCACCCATAAAGACTTCGAAGATGTAGTATTTTGGCATGTGTCGTTGACATCAAGTTTAGGTTCAGGTGAGGTTGCAGAATGTTGCAGAGGGGTTTTCGGTTACGGGGCTTCGGGTCGAAGGTTTCAGCGTGAGATCATGTCATGCCTTCCTTTGACTCGTCGGATCTCAGCCAATCACTGCACGTTTTCTGACAGAAGGGGGTGGTGTTCCGACCTTAGCAACATCACTCCATGCTTGTCAGTGATTTGGGTAACCGTTGTCGGATTCTCGGAAATCCTGTAGAGTGCTTAGGGCCGCGACCCGGGCAGTAAGTGTTGAACTTTTTGCCTCGCGTTGGACTTTCCGACAACAGCCGTGTTAAACCGCTGATGTGGAGAACTAGATGTCGCACCTCAAGCACACGATGACGACTACTACGACGACGACTACTACCTGTACCTACTACTTATTGCTATTCGACCACAGCTGCGGCAAAAGGCAAACAGCCGCAACGCCAGGCACACGGACAACCAATGCAGAACTAGTGGACATGGGCAGTTGGTCAGCACACCTAATTTAGACATGTGCTTTGCGTTTCACTTTTGTGAGGTCCTCTGTTGTATGTAATGAAAGACTACTCCTACTTCGCTTGAAGGTCAGCTACCAGTTCATCCCGGGACAAGGCACGCAATTGCATCTGGATCTGTTGTCGAGCGAATGGTGAGATGCTGTGATGTTGGATCCGATTCCTTGGGCTTGGATTGTCGAGCAGATGACGGCATCGACATAGTGTTCGCGATGCTGCTGTGGAACATCGGTACATTCGTGCGAATACCCGAGCCGTAGCCGTAGCTAGTTTCAGGGGGAGTCCCCTGCCAAGCTCAATTCAGATAAAACCGAGCCCAAAGGCTCCAGGGCTTCGGGTGTACGGTTTAATTACGGGTTCAAGGTTTAGGGTTTGGAGGTCGCGCAGCAGAATCCCCACGCGACGCTTCAACTTCAACTGCTAGCACAAGCCGGAAAGTTTCCCCACACACCCTGGAAGCATTCTGTCATGCCTTAACGAAGTCCTTTTGCCGATGTGATAGGCCGGAGGGGTTTATCGAGGCCAATCTATAGGAGTTACTCCTGAAGAATTAGCAAGAACATCCCTGATATGTTTTCTGTGCAACAAGTTGCGCAAGAAAGCATCTAATATCCCATTCTGCATGTATTTGGGGCCCCGGTAATCTAAGCACGTCGACACACGAAATATCTCATATCTCATAGTACCCTGATGAGAATCCTTGTTGAAAGCCCAAGAGACTTGTAATCACAACCCTGATTGAAAGCTCAGTGGGGTCCAGGCCCTTTCTTATGATCGGAGAGTTGAGCTCCGGGTCTTGAGAGGTGTCTCCGGTGTGGTGCAGATCATCCAGATAGCGTCTGCAGGCTCTCTGCAGCCCACTACCCATATAGGCTCCATAGTCGTTCCTTTTTGGGATTACCTTATAGATCTTAAACATAAACCGCGACAGGGAACTACAATAGGGCCTAAGGGTATTCGTCAGAATATTCACTAACAGTATGCCCTTATACTCACCCTACAAGCACAGTTTAATATGACAAAAATTCCAAATTCCAGAGGTTACGGTCCCTACGGTACAGGATCTTCAAATACAAGGCTGGGGTTTTTCGCCGTGACGCAGAGATAGACTCGTTGGAGTTGTAGGATCCCCCGGGTTGGGTTTCTTGCATTAGTCTACGTGCGGTTCTTATTAGGGTTTAGGGTTTAGGGTTTAGTTACAAAGGTTGCTAGAAGCAGAGCTTTTGGATCGAATAACTGTGTAGAATGTAGAAGTCGTTGTTGGTCAAAGTTTTCTGGCGGTGTTCCGAGTGCGCAGCTGCAAGAGCAACGCGCCGGGACAGAAATGATATTCCTGGCATGCTGTTCTGTGGCGGCCGCACATGGCTGTGGTCAGTCTAGGGTTCAGGGTACCTTTACCTGAAGGACCACATGACCCTTATAAGTAGGGGCCCTCTACCCATATGAACCTTAAACTCTTTTAGGGTTCATTTCGTCCTTAAGGTAGGACTGCGACTTGTTTTTGACATTGTCATATGATTGGAAACTGACGGCGAGACCGACGCGGCACAAGGAAGGGGGCGTACAAGGCTCAGCCACTAAACTGCCTGAGAGGCCTCAGTTACTGCTTAGCCTTTGGCCACCGGGTGGAGGTTCAACAAGGGGATGTGTGGCTTCAAAGGCTTGGCGTCCACAGGTTCGAGGGTGTAGGTTTCAAGGGGCATGGCCAGTACGAGAATCGCGGATGGTAATGAGGTTGCAAGTTTAAGACTCCTGCGAAGCCTCAAGAAGCGTGCCCAGAGACTCCAATATCCCTTAAATATGGAATATACCTTAAATTATAGAAGGATCCCGAATATGATTTAAGGTATATTCCTTAATTAAGGGATATTGGAGTCTCTGGGTGTGAACCTGCGACAGGGATCTGCATGAGTTCCTGCAGAAGCAGAAGATCCCTAAGTACAAGATCCTCGGCTTACGTCAGCGTTTGGGGCTTGTTTTTTTTGGGAGCGTAGGGTTTAGCGGTTTAGGATTGAGGAGTTTAGGGTGTAGGGGTTATAGGGTTTAGGGTTAGGGGTCTAGGGGTGAAGGGTTTACGGAATTTACGGTTTGGGTTTATGGGGCCATCCGAATCCATCTTGCGATGCTCTTCCAGGATGTGACTTGTGGAGAAGCAGCAAGATAATGCCCTCCAGCTCGCCGTTCGCAAAAAGATTGTCTAATATCAATGAAATATTTTGCCTCTGATAAACCCATAACCATATTCTGAAATTTAAGACGCGTATATCACACACGCTAGACTTCGATGTTTACTTCCCGCCTTTGCTTGACCTTTTGTAAAGGGCCGTCACAGAAGTTCTAGCAAAACCTGGGCTCCCAGATCTCAAAACGACAACGGAACCCTGCAGCCTAAAGCAAGGAGAGCGGTCTGACTGCCTACCTGGCAGTTTCCAAACATTCGGGGTACCTTTTTGGGGGATCCTTTTATAATAATGAATTACTACTTAGGGTCTAATATTAGGGTCCCCTACTTTCGGAAGCTCTCATCGAATCTATAGCTCGAACCACCTACTACTTGGGTATACCCTATCATTACGGGTCATACTTGACTATTCTGTAGGGCTACGGGTTGCTAAAGTTTGCACTCAGAATGCTTTTCATCGGGACAAGTGTGTCAGTTTCTACGGCTTCGGCAAGAGGTTGCTGCTTTGAGGTGCATGATGTGCTTCTCTACAGACCATGTGCCCTGGGCCACGAGAGCCTTGCGTGGCACGAGCATTGTGTCCGTTTTGATTCTCTAAGCCCGTAAAGGAACCTAAACCAGGATAAGCCTGAAAGGATCCCCAAATCAGTAGTCTGAGGGCTGCAATACACATCGTGCAAACGAAGACAGCTCTGCATTAAGATTGAGTTCTATTACAGGTCTTTGGCAGGGCATGTTTGTGCTGTATGTCAAGGAAACAAGTAGTATGACAAAAACGAAGACAAGGCACACAACGCAAGATATTTCCGCGTCGTGTCCTTGGACTCCATTTTCGTACAAGCCTGCTTGGGTTAGAGTTATAGCAACCCTCAGAAAAGCCGATTTTTGAACTTGTTGCATATATATATATATACATACATACATACATATAAGGCTCCTTTATTAAGGCACCTCAACTCGAGCCCTAGCTCCGAAACCCGGAGCAGCTGGCATGTTCAGTTTGAGGAGACTTCCTGACTGTGAAGCTAGCTTCAAGGACCGTGGTGAGGGCGAGGTTTTAGAGTTTTTGTTGGTTTCGGCTCTGTTTAGGGTTTACGTATCAGGAATAATGGTTGAAATCTTTTGGTGTTTTCTGCGCAAACTTCAGCTTTCAGACGTTCACAAGTTCAGGACTGGGGGGAGGGGGGGAATTAAGGATTTAGGGGACCCTCAATAATCCAAGCCCATGCTGAAAAAGGGTTGAGGGTCCAATGGGATTTAGGGTTGAGGGTTCACGGTTTAAGTCTAAGGGCGCCAACCCCAAATTAGACACTAAACTAGATGCCTGGGTGGTGCCCTTCTGCCCTTTTTGTTTTAGGGTCCCCTTATGAAAGGGGCGACTCAGTTGTTTTACGGTCGCCTTATTGCAGGGGCTACTCAGAGACTCAGGAAGTAAATCAGAAGCCTTAAGTCGTAAAACCGTAATTCAATCCGCTAAGCTCCAAAGCACACAGCGGCCGACAACGGGACGGCATCTTAACTTAACGGAAAGGTATGAACTGCTATCTGAAAGAAACGTAGCCAAGCACAACGTGCGTTTTGTTTGTAAACCCACCCCCAACGGCTCCATGTACCTTTATAGTAGATACTTAAGCCTTCAAGGGGTCCCTATATAGGTACTTTAAGGCCTAAGTATATACTATATGGGTACATGGAGCCTTAGGGACTGGGAGGTCAGGAGTATCTCCGATCTCGACTCGAAGACAGGCGGAGGGTTTGGGATTTGGGGTTTGGCATGGTTTAGCACGTATACTGAATTGTGAGACTAGGGTTTGCAGGGTTGATTATTTTGAGCTCAGGGTGTACTGCGCTTACTCGTTCGAGGTTTTTGTGCCTCTGGTGGTTCTTATTCCGTTCAGAGGTTCGGAGTCTCCTAGCCCGATTTCAGCCGGGAGGTCGGAGTTGTGGGTTCCAAACGAGAGGAGGAGTTTTGGATTTAGGATTGTCGGGTTTTCTGAATAAAGGGTTTAGGGAGGGAGGTGTTTTGGATTTAGGGTGTTTTGCTGGCTGATGTTGCTGCGCGTGGAATGGGAGGGGGTGAATGCACATCGTCACGTTTACGACCCCATGGCCGTCACTGAACCCTCAACGCTAGCTCCTACGTGCAAACACTTCACCCAGAAGACAACGAAGCTTTCCCAAAACGAACATCTCTGAGCCCCAAATCCTCAAAGCCACGCGCTCCACTCCAGGGTCCTCAAGCCAAACCTTCCAAAACCCCTTAAAGGACTATGTCTTAGGTTACAATAGGATCCCTCATATGATTTAATGTAAATTCTTTAAGGAATTTCGGAAGGTCTGGGAAGCTCACAGCTCTTAATCATAGTATAATATAACCCCCAAACCCTTTTTTGATATGAAGGCCCCTATGAAGCTCCACTCCACGGTCCTCAAGCTCGAAGCTATCGCGGGAGGCACCTTTCTAGCCGACTTCCAGCTGGAGCTGAACTGGGCAAGAGCCTCAGGGCTTCAGGGTTTGGGCAGACACACTTTCAAGGTTTAGGGTTTACGGGTTTATATAGGGTTTAGGGTTTAGGGTTATCAACTTTGGAGGGGTTGCATGTGCTACGGTTTAACTGCGCCATTTAGGGCTTAGGGCGTAGGGACCCCAGGCCAAAGACCTTCAACTCCTCGTTTCGGGCATGGGTCAGGCATCCATTGTGACGTTTATATGGTAGCATATTAGCATTTCATGGCGCATGATAAGTTTTTGTATACTATGATATGTTATGGTATATACTCATGACGGTTCACGGCTCGGGCTAGCAATCAAAGTATTGAAAGCGCCTGGAACATCCGAAGCCTTTGGCCCTGCGACGGGCCGCTTGAATCCCAAATTCGAAGGCCTCAGCCTACATGTTTATCATAATGTTTATACAATATAGCCTAACATAATTAGTACAGTTTAACATAACTTCGCGTTGGAGGCCTCTACGGCGTTTCGATGGCTTACTGTTCTTGTGTCGCCTGGGGCTGGAGACCGCGCGCGCTGTCTGTCGGTGGGCGACAGACATACACCACATGTACGGAGCGTAGGCTTCCTCATTCTAGGTCATTATAGTTTAATTTACCATCAGTATACCCCAAAGCCCTATTCTAATTAAATATATATATATATATATTACCAACTCACAGTCGTTTATCAATGCCAGGCCAACAGCTCCGGGGGTGCAACCTAACCACAGAGTGCTAAACCCAATCTCCCGCGCTGCGGAAGGTAGATGCAGGGCTTCAGCGCGACACGCACTACACCGAGGACACTCGTGGAAAAGCCCGGGCTTTCATCCCAAACCATGGAACGTCATATTGGGGGTTGGGGGGTAATCATTGTCACGTTAGAGCAGCAACCGGGCCCGAAGTATTGAATACTCAGTATGACAGCTTATAAGCTACAGAACTGGGCTGTCGAATGTTTCGGGCTCCGTCAGCTTCAAGCTTGCATGGCTTAAGGACGATATGCCGTTTCGGGATTTTTCGGGTTTGAGTTTCCAGAGCTTTGGACAGACACGTTGGAGCTGCTCCACACCCTCAAACAACCCGAGCACAGGCAATCGTTTTCAGGATTTCTAGACCTCCCACTACACCTTGAAACTCTATCTTCAGTGTGGGGCTTCCGGGGTTTGGGGAGGAGGAAAGACGAACTAACGGCTTGAGAACCTGCAACCACGACCGACAGTTGCAACCCTAAAGCCCTAACACAAAACGCGCATCGGAATCAAACGCCTCGAACCCCACCGAGTTCTACCTGGAGTAACAAATGTGCTTTTGGACAAGGAAACGGACCCTCACAACTAGTCTCTAGGTCCTGGTAACGCTAAACCCCTGGAAGCCGTGCTTGCGTGAGCGAGTGTGCGAGTCGAAACCCCGGGTAGACCTTTAAGCATCCCCAACTTGCAAGTGGGAGGACTATCAGTCGCAGACCCTGCAGCTCTTCCCGGCAGGGGGCCTTAGAATGCCGCAGGAAAGATCCTGCATCTTTCCACCCAAGCGCCCCGGCCCTGTGATGTAGTACTGTTGTTGGTTTCCTTACAGTTTTTGATGGCCCTGAACCCTAAACCCTAAACCCTGGCTCAGAATGTTGTTCCCTGCGTGTTGAAGTACCTGTCTTCTCGTCTTTAGACCCGGCCTGGAGTGTGAGATCCAAAGAACCAAAGTACTACGTTGCTAGATTTTAGGATGTTTTAGGGAATTCTAGGGTCTAGGTAAGGCTTCGGATTTAGCTTAGTTCTTGGAGCCTGCACCTGTAAACAAGGACACAGGCCTAGTGTTGCGGCTTTGGGGTTAATTTAGGCGTTGTCGTTCACGGTTAGCTCAGGGCCGTAGATCGCAATCCTCACTGCGAGCGACGAGTGTGTCCAACGGATGGGCTGATGGTGAGAAGTCTTGCATTTTGAAAAATGATTTGGGGCCCGGTTTGGTGTTTATTCTTTATGAGCCCTACGAACTACGAACCCCGTGAACCCCAAATAACCCCAACAAGGTGCACCCCCCTAAACTGGCAACAACAACCTGCAAAAAGCGCAGCTTAGCCATGTAAAGGTTCAGTTCAGCGAACAGGTTGTCAACACATCTCAAGCTCCCTGAGTCCTCACCCGCAAACCCGAGCATAAAGTCTGCGTTTGGAGAAGATCCCATGATCGATGTTCAAGAGTTGTTCAAACTCACGTGTCCGTCGTCAGGCATTTGAGGCACACATCTTCAGTCCCGAGGTCACCGGGGGTCAGGGGGAGGGAAGGATTGAAGACGTGGAGAGTTCCAGCTTCTTGCGATTTGGGCCCTGTTAAGCAAAGTGGCATTCAGTTATTTGGAGGATCAGGGTCGATTCCCGCGTCCGTGTCATGGCAGACTTGCTGGTCCCCCCTGTCGCAGCAGACTTGCTGATGAGTCCAGTGGTCGTCCAGTTAGCAAGAGTTTGCATGGTCTGTCTCTGCAGGCAGTTTGGAGGGCTATATGTTTGATCAAGTTTTCGCAGGGTTTGTAGGGGACTCTGGAATTTGCAGCGTGGCTTGTTGTGTGCTTGACGCATTGGCCGCACCACCTTCGCAAACTCAATCTCCGCACCTCATTGCAGCGCATGCTTCCTTTTTCGGAAAGACAGGCCCCTTCAATATGCGTCCAAGTCGTCAAACCCTAAAGCTAAACTGCCCTGAACCCTAAATCCTTCAGGGTCTTTTGTGGCACCTGCTATACTTCCCGAAACTACTCGAAACCCATGGGCCATCACTGGCCAACAGTAGCCACCCAATCCTTAAATCGAGCCATAAGCTCTGAACCCGAAACCCTGTATTCCCTGAGTTAGACCTAACCCTAAGGCCCCAAGGTAGTTCCTTTTTGGGGTTCATACACATGTAGAACCCTATAAGGTAATCCCCAAAAGGAACTATTTTGGGGCCTCTGGGTAGACCTTAATTAGCAGTTAACCCCACCCAAAACATGCGAAGAGTCTTTGAAAACACTTGTCTATCCTGTCCTACGTATCAGAAAAAAACCCACAGGCCTAATCCCACTAACTCTAAACCCCTTGCAAGCCTTGATCCCCTTTAACCGATACACTTAAGGCAAATTCTTTGACCCAGAAGCCCCCGCAGCCTTGAAGCCTAGGAGGCAAAAAAGCCGCTAAATCCTAAACCTAAACCCTGAAACCCCAAACAAGCACCAACTCATTAGCAGACCTCGAACCATAGACCTCGCCTGGATTGTCCGAGTGTGAGCACCGAAACAAGTAAAAACCCTAAAGAAAGAATCCTAACAACTCTAAAGCCTAACAACCCTAAGACCTAAAGCGAAAGCTCAAATTCCAGAGCCCTGGAGCCCTTGAGGTGGTGAACGAGAACCCTAAACCCTTGCAGCCCTAAACCCTAGACCCCTATAGACCCTAAACCCTTAAACCCAAAACCCCAAAACCCTAGACCCTAAACCCTTAAACCCTAAACCCCTAAACCCCAAAACCCCTGAAACCCAAAGACCCTACCAACCCCAAAACCCCAAAGCCCTGGGGCCCTGGAGGTGGTGATCGAAAATGCCGTGGAGCCCCTGGGGTGCGAGCCTTTGGGGATTTAGGGCTACTGTGTTTAGGGCTTAGGGTTTAACCTTTAGGGGTTTAGGGTTTATTTATCCTGTAGGGGTTTAGGGTTTAGGGTTTAAATTTAGGGGTTTAGGGTTTAGGGTTAAGGGGATTTAGGGCTACTATCGATCTATCAATCTATTATCGATCTTTCTATTTACATACCTATGTAACTGTATATACATATACGCATACACCTGTGCATTTGCATATGCACATGCATGCATATTTACATATACCTGTACACGTACATATACATATATAATGTATGTATCAGTGTTTTATAGTACGGGGTTTCACTCTGGGATTAAGACGTCCTTTGGTTTAGGATTCAGGGGTTGGGGTTATTGAGGCTTCCTTGGGGTTGTAGGAACTTTAGGATCTAGGGTTGGGCTAAACCCTAAACCCTAAACCTGAGTCCTGTAGCAAAAAGAGGGTTGGGGTTTGGTGCTGAGGGCTCCCACGCTTCATTTAAGGGTTCCTTTATACCTACCCCCCCCCCCCCCCCAAAAAAAAAAAAAAAAAAAAGTAGGTTAAGTAATGGCCCAATGCCTATAAAGGGCTATTATTCTACATACTTTGGGGTCCAGGTAAGGGTTCCATATGGAAGTTTGCGAAAATCAGGGGTAACGTATTTTGGGGTGCTTATTATATGGATCCTACTCTTTAAGATAGTAAAAAAAAGGTCCCCCATTTTCGGAAACGCCCATATATGCATATATATATATGGTTTCTGGGTTTAGGGAGTATGGTTCCTTTATAAGGATTCCTTTAAGGATACCCAGTGAAGGTTCTCTGAAGGGTTCCTTTTCTTAAGGCTCCATGTACCCAAATAGTCTATGCTTTGGGCCCAATGTACTTATATAGGGAGTACTTTAACCCCAAAGTATATAGTAATTGGGTACATGGACCCTTAAGGTTTAGTAAGGCTTACGAGAGTTTTAGTTTCAGGATGTTGGGTTTTGGGATAGGGCCGTGGGTTCGGAGGGCTCAGGGTTTGGATTTTCTGGATTTGACAGTGTGAGCATAAGGGTTCCTCTAGATATTCGATGCAAAGGTTCCTTTAATATAAAAGGTTGCCAGCAAGGGTTGCTTCAATAAGGGCTACTACTTGCGGTTACTATAAGGGGTTGCTATGAGGGTTTCTCTGCGGGGTTGTCTTTTATGCGGGGATGTAGACTTCAGCTTTTAGGATTCAGTGTTTCTAAACACAGTGTTAAGTGCTTGCGGTGGCTTCAGGATTCAGGCCGTACTGTTGATGGACAAAACCCTGGAATTACCTATTATAAGGAGTATACCAGAGTTCCCATATTTTAGAGTCCTTAGGGCCATGCAGGATTTTGTCCATCAGCAGTATCGGTGGCTTCAGGGTTTGGGGAGTGTGGGTTTAGGACTTGCTTTAGGCTTTCATGGTCTAAATTTGGAAGTTTCTGCAAATTAGGGGTACCTTATTTTGGGGTCCTTATAATTAGGATCCTATTATTTGGGGTACTATATTAGGGTTCCCTATTTGCGGAAACTCCCAAATTGAACATGGGGCTCTTTCTCATAAAGCTCGGTGTTTACATGGCTTGTTGAAGGGTATGGCCATGTGGTGTGGCGGCTATGAAGTCTCGGTCGCTGGGGTTGGGTATATGGCCCCGGCCAGTCGACCGTCGACTGCCGTCCACCGCCTGCAAAAGCGAATGTGTCACGACGCCTTGGGCGGTGAGAAGACAGATAACAAGTGGGAGTTTCCGAAAATAGGGGATCCAAAGGACCCTATTATACGGACCCCAAAAGAGGGTACCCCTAATTTTCGGAAACTCCCAAGTGCATCGTAAGCTTCTCCATATCGTCCATTCAGGAGAGGCCTCGGTGAATGCATCTTCGTTTTCAGACTTGGCGGCTGTCGTCAGGTGATTCGGTGTGGCCTCGTGGATTCTTCACCAGATGACGGACTATGACTAAGCCGTGCCCTGAACCCGAACCGAAACCGCAGCAAAGGTTTAAGGTTCAGGCTCAGACTTCAGCGGCCACCACCTCCAATCCTTGAGTTGAGACTCAGGGTCAGGACATCCCTGGAAGTCGAGTGGCCCATAGAGTGGACTACTCTGCTAAAGTTACATGGGCGAATATGTAGGTCTTTTGATTGCGAGGCTTCTGGGGATTCTGGGGGTAGCTGCATTCTGCTGAAGCGCTTGCTGTGTCCACCTGTTTTGGCCCGGTACTGCTCCTATGCGTGAGCTGTGATATGCACAGCCCCCAGTGATGCGGATTTCTGTGCCCGAAGCCCTGAGCCCTAAACCACTCGATATTGGAGTCTCTGGGTCCGGGAGCGCGTGACGAAAGCCTTGAAGTATCGCCTTAGGCTTCACAGCACCCAAGAACCTCAATCCTAGAACCCATGCGCCCTGAAATTCCCCAAACCCCTACACCCCTAAACACCTGAGCCCCGAGACCCTAAATCCTAAACCCTAAACCCCCAAACATCCAAACCCATAAACCCTACATCGTAGTCCTAAACCCAAAAGCTTATGTTCTCCTCGCAAAACCTGAATCCCAGACCCCAAAACCCTATAAACCCTAAACCCTATCAACCCCAAACCCTTGAATCCTAATCCCCAAAACCCTATGTTCTCTTCCGGTGCGAGGCTTTGCCCCCTTCCCGGCGTGGATAGCAAACTGCAGATCCAGGTGTGCGCTGCCTTGTCCGTGGTTTAGGGTTGGGGGGTTTAGGGTTCAGGCTGTGATTGTCCAGGTGATCAGGATCTTGGACTAGGTTTGCGGTGGTTTGGGGTTGCCAGAATACTTTACAATGGCAACCCTGGATGTTGGGTACTTACATGCAACGGCTGACCCAAAATCCTGAAGCCTAAACCCAAACCCTGATCTGGGTGTCCCCATTAGGGTCCCAAGTACATGCTATATGGGGGATATATTTGCCCAAACCATATGAACAATTACTACTATGGTTCCCGTTCTTTCTACTAGGATATTTTCTTGGTAGTTTCCTACTACAGAAACCCCTGTCTACCAGATATAGGTACCTAGGACCCGTTGTTTCGTGGTAAATTTCCGCTATGGAAACCCCTACTTTCTGCTATATGTAGTGAGGGGCTTTTCGGGTCATTATGGTATTTGCCCAAAACAGGATGCTAATGTTCTACTATGGAACCTTACTTTCTACGATTATAGGTACTTAAAAGACCCTTTGCGGGAGGGGGACCCCATTGTCTACCAGAAAACAATGCCTTAGGACCCCATTGCGCAAGTCTACAATCCATAGGTTCATTGGGCCCCCTTTGGGTAGCGGAACTGCGCCCCTCTCTGACCCAGGCGGAGACGCTCCACGGGCTTTGGCTCCGACGGAAGTTCCACTTCAAGGGGCTGCTGGAGCCCAGAAAATTGCTGTTTAGAGTGGGTTTAAGGTTGAGCTTTTAGGGTTTTTGGGGCTTAGGGGTCAGGGTTAGGGTTGAGGGCTTAGGGTTTAGGGTTTAGGTTTGAGGGCTTGGGGTTTGGGGTTTAGGATTTAGTGGAAGGGCTAGGGTTGTAAGAGTGTTTGAGGTGCGGGAATACAGAAGCTTGTAGACACATTGTGAGTTGTACACGAAGAAGGCGTGATCCTGGAGATTGTCTTGTAGGTGTCGACTTTAAACTTTAAGTTCGGTGGTTTTGGGTTCTGCGCCGTTCCAGTGTCCCAAAGTTAAAGTAAGCATGGAGCCCGCAGGGCACTTTTTTGTATTGAGCCCGTAGGGCTTGACTTGAATGGAGATACTACCCATAGGCCCCAAAGTAGTTCCTTTTGGGGATTACCTTATAGGATTCTGAATATGAACCACAAAAAGGAACTGCTATGGGGCCTCAGGGTAGTGTTATTCCTCATCAGGCTTCCCGAGTATGCTCATGCGCCGAAATCTGAATGCAAACGTCCCTCTATGACTATATGCTGCGAGGAGTGCTCCAACACCACCTACGCCAACTTCCCGTTGGATACCCACGCACTGACCTCAGAGTGATATGGGAGTTTCCGAAAACAAGATATACCTTATTTGGGGTTTGTTAATATTAAGGATCCAACTATATAGAGTACTATATTGGGGGCCCCATATTCGGCATCGGGATGCTGAAGGCTTTCTCACGAGGTGTAAGGGTTTAGGGGTAGAGCAGGGTATGCGTAGCTTCGGAATCTCGGTTCTTTGGGGTTCTACTGTTGATGATATAAATCCTGCATTGCCTTAAGGACCCTAAACTATAGGAACTATGGTATATTCCTTATTATGGGTAATGCAGATTTTTATATCATCAACCGTATTTCCGGGTCATCTGGGTGGAGATCGGGAGGTTCGAGTTCCACATTGCTCAAAGGGTTTAGGGGTTTAGGGTTTGGGGTGGACTAGAGAAGTAACGAGTTGGTGGGCTTCTCAGAAGCCCAAAGCCCATGCACCTGAAAGTCCCAAGTATCTCGCGGTGCCTCTTGAGCAATGTTGTATCTTTACAAGATCTGGCAAGTCCTATTGATATTTTGGCTGGTGTCCCTAGCCTAAACCCCAACCCGCCGAACCCTAAACCCTAAAACCTTGCAAGTGTAAACCCTCCCTGAACTCTAAAAAACACCGAAACCAAAAAACCCCTAAACCCTAAACCCCCCAAGCCCTAAACCTCTAAAACCCCTTGAACCCTGAACCCCAAAACCCTAAACCCTATAGATCCTCTATAGGAGCGCTTAAAGGAACCCTTCTAGATCCCTGTAAGAGAAATCCCCAACACCCTAAACCCTAGACCCTAGACCCCTAGCTTCAATCCATCTTCTCTGAGCTACTCTGGGGATGCAAACAGAACCGACTGACGAGGCTATACCCACCAGCATCCGCTTGAAGGAGCTGGGAAGCTCAGAGGTTTCCACAGGTCTTAGGGTTTATAGGATTTGGTTGGGGGTTTAGGTTTTAGGGTTTATAGGATTTGGTTGAGGGTTTAGGTTTTAGGGTTTATAGGATTTGGTTGAGGGTTTAGGTTTTAGGGTTTATAGGAATTGGGGGGTAGGGTGTCTAAAGTAGTTTTGGGGTTTCTAAACGTTTTAGGGTTTATAGGATTTGGTTTAGGGTTTAGGTTTTAGGGTTTGTAGGATTTGGGGGGGAGGGGTAGGGTGTCTAAAGTTTTGGGGTTCCTAAGGTTTTAGGGTTTATAGGATTTGGTTGAGGGTTTAGGTTTTAGGGTTTATAGGATTTGGTTTAGGGTTTAGGTTTTAGGGTTTGTAGGATTTGGGGGGGAGGGGTAGGGTGTCTAAAGTTTTGGGGTTCCTAAGGTTTTAGGGTTTATAGGATTTGGTTGAGGGTTTAGGTTTTAGGGTTTATAGGATTTGGTTGAGGGTTTAGGTTTTAGGGTTTGTAGGATTTGGGGGGGAGGGGTAGGGTGTCTAAAGTTTTGGGGTTCCTAAGGTTTTAGGGTTTATAGGATTTGGTTGAGGGTTTAGGTTTTAGGGTTTATAGGATTTGGTTTAGGGTTTAGGTTTTAGGGTTTGTAGGATTTGGGGGGGAGGGGTAGGGTGTCTAAAGTTTTGGGGTTCCTAAGGTTTTAGGGTTTATAGGATTTGGTTGAGGGTTTAGGTTTTAGGGTTTATAGGATTTGGTTGAGGGTTTAGGTTTTAGGGTTTATAGGATTTGGTTGAGGGTTTAGGCTTTACGGTTTATAGGAATTGGGGGGGCATAGGGTGTCTAAAGTTTTGGGGTTCCGAAAGGTTTTAAGGTTTTAGGGTTTATAGGATTTGGTTTAGGGTTTAGGTTTTAGGGTAGGGTGTTTAAAGTTTTGGGGTTCCTAAAGGTTTTAGGGTTTAGAGGCTTGGGGGCTTTGAGGCTTCGATAGCTGATAGGATTGACAGAGGCATTTGGGGTTTAGGTTTTCGGGTCTACAGGCTTTTGGGGGTTTAGGGCCTAGAGGCTTTTGGGGGCAGGCTCTAGGGATTATAGGGTTTAGAGGCTTTGGGGTTTAGGGTTGGTAGGCTTGTTTTGCAGTTTAGGGTTTAGGGTTTTGGGGGTTCACGGTTTATGGGCTGTTACAGGGACATCTAATTGTTGCGTCCCTGGAAATCGTGAGCCGGAACAAGGGCCCACATTGGGGTTCGGGGATTCAGGGTTAGAGTTTCAAGAAACCCAAACTACGGTTCGAGACTTTAGGGCATGGGGTTTGGGGGTGTGCAACACCAGCCCCAAATGAAGAACCAGGGCACAGAAGTCGCAAGGTTCTAGATGAGGTTTAGAGTTTAGGGTTTAGGGAGCCTTCTTTGGAAGGAAGCCAGAATGGGGCACCGAGGATTTATTTGGATCATTAGGACACATAGTACGTAGGAATATTGTTGCATGGGTAACTATATTACTTACACGCATGATTCAGAAAGGCATTCCAAGCTTGTGGTTCTTTCCTATGAGCATTATAAACCCTAAACCCTAAACCCTGGGCTGGACCTAGCTGGGCTTGCACATGCTCTGAAGCATGAGCTTTGCCATGTAACGACGGTTATGTACTAAACACTCCGACCTAATGTTCTAATCAAGCCATCGGCCTGGGGCAAGAGCCAAAGGCGCTTTTAGGTCTGTTCGTATTGGTTTTCCGGGGTCTGGGCTCACCCTTAACTCTGATTTTTTCGGTTCAGGGTTCGGCATCATGCCATGTGGTGATTTCCCGGAAGTTAATTATCAAGTCCCAACACAGTCTTGCTTAATGTGTCGCATGCATGTGCTGCATGTGTATGCGCGGATTACTGTCGTTCCTCGTAGAAGGTCAGTTTGAAATGGCTCAACACGATGAAGCTTTGGATGCTACACGCACCGGCACCCGAGAGGTCAAGGTTGTACAGTGCTGCAAAAGTAAGCTCAAAATGTCCAGCAGTTGGCTTCGCAAGTTGCAATAAAGATAGGTAGGGGATTTTCTGTATTTCTGTTCTACTACTGTCCTACTACTGCACCACTAGTGTATTGCTGTACAGTACCAGGATTCAGACGTGGTCGGTTGTGGAGGGCAGTGTAGGTTGGAGGCCAAAGTCTTCGAAATGACGGGTTTTAGTCTTGGTAGTTATCTTGGAGTGATCGAGGCTTTGGTTTGCAGCTTTTGGTGACTCCCAAACCCCGCTAAACAGCTCCAGACACTCCTAAACCCTCGCACTGTACTACTACTACTACTACTACTACTACTACTACTACTACTACTACTACTACTACTACTACTGTACTACTACTGTACTACTGTTGTACTACGGTTGTACTACTGTTGTACTACTGTTGTACTACTGTTGTACTACTGTTGTACCACTGTTGTACTACTGTACTACTACTGTACTACTACTGTACTACTACTGTACTATCTCTGTACTACTACTGTACTACTATTGTAATACTGCATTACTGTTGTATTACTACTGTATTACTACTGTACTAGTGCACTACTACTGTACTTCTGCACGACTACTGTACTATTATATTACTGTACCATGACTGTACAGTTAGTGTACGACTACTGTACCGTACGAGGCCTCAGACGTGGTCGACTGTGGAGGGGAGGGAGTGTAGGTTGGAGGCAAACGTCTTCAAAATGAAGGGTTTTTAGTCTTGGTAGTTATCTTGGATTGATCGGGGCTTTGGTCTCTAGCTTTTGGTGATCCCCAAACTCCAATCGCGCGGCATTCGCGCAGAACCGCAGACCCTCCACCCAAGCCAGCCCTCAGCTAAGCCACCAGAACCCCGGTCCAGTAGCTTGGAGCCGGTAGCGAGTAGCGAGCAGCTCGAAGCCAGTAGGTACTAGTCAAAATTAAGGACTGGCTTGGGATGTCGTACTTCGTGATTCGTTCGTCATCTGTAGTTAATATAACTGGTACTTGGCAGTTAGCAGGTAGTATTTCCAGCTTTGGTTGCTAGATACCATTTCGTAGTTTGAAGTTCGTAGTTGGAGATCGGTAGTTGCGAGTCAGTAGTAAGCAATGATATCAGAAGTCAATATGATTTGGAATATTTTGCTGGAGAAGTTAGTAGTTACTAGGTATAGCGGACTTGGAAAAGTGCTTGGGTAGTCTGAAAGAAGGTATTTCGTAGGAGCGCTAGCAGTCACGAGCAGTACCAGTAGTACCAGTACGACTAGTAGTACTAGTAGTACAAGCAGAGTGGTAGTCGTAGTAGTAGTAGTAGTAGTAAGTAGTAGTAGTAGTAGTAGTAGTAGTAGTAGTAGTAGTAGTAGTAGTAGTAGTAGTAGTAGTAGTAGTAGTAGTAGTAGTAGTAGTAGTAGTAGTAGTAGTAGTAGTAGTAGTAGTAGTAGTAGTAGTAGTAGTAGTAGTAGTAGTAGTAGTAGTAGTAGTAGTAGTAGTAGTAGTAGTAGTAGTAGTAGTAGTAGTAGTAGTAGTAGTAGTAGTAGTAGTAGTAGTAGTAGTAGTAGTAGTAGTAGTAGATTTAGTAGTAGTAGATTTAGTGTAGTAGTAGTAGTAGTAGTAGGACGAGTCGTGGGAGGAGCCATAGCAGCAGCAGCAGTAGCAGCGGAAGTGACAGCGGCAGCGGCAGTGGTGGTAGCACTGGCACAGGCACTGGCAAGCCTGGTCGTCGTCGCAGTGGGAGCAGCAGAAAATAGGCGGCGCATCACAGGACTGTATACTCACCACGGTGTTGTGATTTTGTTCGATGGGATGTGTAGTCTGCAGCTCCGGCTGTTCTGGCAGACGCTGACGGTACCTCGCGAGCAACGACGTTCCCTTGTTGCTTGCATTGTTGCTGCTTGTCGATGATGCTGAATCGAGAAGGACACCTTGACATGTTAAAAATTTACACGACTGGCCGCACTGACATCAGTATCCGTACCCGGACCTTGTCGTCTTTCTGCCCTTGAAGTGTTTTGTTAGTACCATTGCCATGCTTCTGTTGAATTGTTTGGAACGGACATACTACAAGGGGCCTAAATAATTATCTACATTAGTGTGGTGGGGTTCCTTATAAAAAATTTAGTGTAATGGGCCCCAAAACATTGTTCTAACCATTTAGGCCCCTCCATCATAGTACCCTACAGTAGATCCTTTATGGTAACCCTTATATAAACGCCTTTAAAGCAACCCTCAAACCCTATTCTAACTATTAAGGGCCCTATATTAGACTCTTTGACCTGGTCACTGACTCGACCGGCCGACCGGCTGGCCTAGGTCTACGTGTGGTCCCCTACAGATCTGGGAGTTTCCGACATTAGGGATACCTTATTTTGAGGTCCTTGTAATATGAGGATCCTATTATTTAGGGTACCACAGCAGGGCCTCCTATTATCGGAAGCTCCCATTTAGGGTTTCGGGTTTTAGGGGGAGGATAAAGTCCGCGCGGATTTCATTTCAGCATGGCGACATCGTTGAAAATCGGGGGGGTCGGGGGGTGAAAACCAAGCGCACACCAGACCCTAAGTGTCCTTGTACCCAATTAGTACATACTTTGAAGTATTCCCTATATAGGTACATCGAGCCCAAAGTATGTGCTGTTTGGGTACATGGACCCTCAGGGAGAAGGTTTGAGCTTTCCATCACGTGAAGCTCCACGGGTTCCGGTTCGGGAGCCCGCTTGAGTCAATTTCTATGTTGCCTAGATACCCATAGGCCCCATGGTAGTTCTTGTTTTGGGATGCCTTATAGAGTTCTAAATCTGAACCCCCAAAAGGAACTACTATGGGGCCTATGGGTAGATACACTGCATCGCACAGAGCATGTCAAACAGTCCGTTAGCTTAAACCGTAACCTAATCGCATGCGTATACCCCCAATCTCAAGGGTTAGAGAGTTCTTCCTGTGTTTCAGGTGGCGTGGGGCGACACCCAAGGCAATTCTAAGGGCACAGCAGTTGCGCCCAACCCTAGATCCTTACGCTGGTAATTCACCAAAGCTGGGACCCCAAACCGCGATGTTTGGAGTTGATGATGGCTGGTTTCAGGTGTAGACTTCTGATCAGGGCCACAGGGATCTTGAGACCCAGTTTCCGCTATTGAAGCGGTAAGCGGCTCCCAACACATAGTAGTTGCTGTAACTACCTGGTCTAGGATCGTAGAATTTCTTCATGTTCGGATTGCGTTTAAAAACGTAATTGCACGGCGTTTCGACCCTTAGGCTGGTGCTGCGTGCGTCTTGCTTTATGTCTCTGGCACCATATGCGGCCAATCCTATTCGCTCTGATTTTGTACACCAACCCTCAGCGAGCACGTGGAGCCCCAAATAAGCCTTAGTAGCCATGCGCCATAGGTTGCTTCCGGCGAGACCGCCCCATGCAACTCTGTGGCCCTCACCCAAAAGCCACATGGGTCGATTTAGGGATCAAGGTTTAAGGATCCAGGGCCTTGCGGTTAATGTAGGGGCCTCAACAATTTGCTATACCATTTTGGGGTTCCTTATTACAATTTTAGTATAATGGGCCCCAAAATGATAAAGATGTGAAGGCCTCTATATGAAAGAGCGTTCAGGAGCGACAAAGTGTGAAGACCTTTGAGGTCGGAGTTTTTGTTCTTTGATTCATCTGAGGGTTTGCAGAAATTTGCGACGCCATCTATAAATTCTAGTTCCTAGATGCGTAGAGTATAGTATGGTCTCGCAACATTATTAAGGTCCTTGGGGCATTTGCACCAGACTTGCTACCATACGCAATCTAGACACGTGTGCAATGTGTACAGCTGGAGACTCTGGGAACCCTGGAACAACCCAAAACCTTTCATCACATGGAATGTAGCCGTCAACCCGAAACCCAAACATCCGAAAACCGTTACCTCCCCCCAAAGGGTCCAAGTATCCTTATGGTATATACTTAGACCCCCAAAATGCCCTATAAGTATGGACCATAAGGATACTTGGACCCTTTGGGTCCCATGGACCGATGTCTTGACCTCGGCGCAGGTCATCAGCCCGGTCCCTGAAATCAAGGAGGCAGGGTTCGGGGTGTAGCATTGTACCTCAACAACCAAAGGACTCCGAAACTACTATTCGAGGTCTGAATTCTTAAACAATCTCATGGTTCTTTTTCAACAGGGTTCTTCTTCAGAGATAGCCCCGACCTCGCTCATAATTCCGGAATTTGCCTTAAACACCTGAAACATTCCAAAACGTACCTCTTCATGCCACAACATTCTAAAACCTTCCAAGAAATTCCAGAACATTGGGTCGAGGTCTGTCAGAAAAGAAAATGTGCCGCAAAGAATTGGGCAGCATTTCCCTTGCCAGCAGGCAAAGGTCGAGAGAATTGAAAACCGCACACACGCGATCCGGAAAGGATTTGTTTTTTTGTATTTTTTGATTTTTTTGGAATGTTTCGGAATGTTTGGGTATTTTTCGGAATCTTAGCGAACATTTCCAAATGTTGGATTGGCTTGTCCGAAAAAATCCCAGCCGCATGCATCAGAGGTTGAAGCAAGGCATCGTTTTGGGCCTATTTTGGCTGTTGCTGGACGCCGCTGAACATTCCAAAACATTCCAAAACATTCTGTATCATTCCAGCCATTTGAAAGAATTTTTCGGAATCTGCTTCTTGGCTGCAAAGGCCACTGAAGAAGTACCCCATTGAAGAAGCACCATACGATTGTCAATGATGAATGACCAGCAATTTACAGCACCTTTACAACAAAAGCGTGTGTATATATACATATATGTAAGTTTTGATCTTACTATGATATGCCCCCAAACCCGAGTCTAATCATATCCTCGAAGCGTGAAGGCTTTAATATTTGCCGTAAACAGGTAATGACAGCTACTGGTCAAGCTGGCATCTCTGATGCAGAAATCCTACCTGAGAATCGGTCCTGAAGCTTCGCCCAACCTGGACCCCAAAAGTATGTAGAATAATCGCCCTTTGTAGGTTTTGGGTCATTATTTAACCTACTTTTTGGGGTTTCGGTACACCCCAAGATTCATGGCATAGCAAACCGTAAGCCGTCAACTCTTCTAATCTTATAGGTAGTAGCCCATCGCAGAGGACATGGGGCTTCGACATTGGCTAGCTGAGAATGGTCCGCCTCAGCACGCACTGCACACAAAGACCCAAATGCCTTCAAACCCTCCAAAACAGTTCTATACTGGTTCCCGTAAATATCCCAAGCCCAAACCTCCAAACCTTCGTCGTGGCTTCTAGATTGGTTCCTTGAGGGGTCTGTCATTTGGGTAGTCTATCCATCCTAAACTGCCTCCAGAACCCTAAATTCTAACATCACTGGCTCAAGTTGTGCTTCCGCGTTCGCGTTGACAAGAGGGGGGGAGGCGAATACCCACGGACAAGCCAATGGCATTCACAAAGCGCCGCTTTTTCCGTACTGATCAAGTCACTGCCAATGAAGAAATGTGGTGTCGGGCGGCACCTGCACAATACATTGCGGACACAAGTATGCCTCCCTGGTAGTTTCGCAACTCCCAAAGGGTCCTATGTACTGTTACGGGGGATACTTCCCTAAGTCATTATAATATATTATATAATTCCTAATATGGAAACCCTACATTCTACTATATCGGTACATAGGACCCTTTGGGAACTCACAACTCGAACCACATGCCTCGCTGGATTGCCCGCGTGTGAGCGCCGACACCTTTCCTTTTAAAGCCTGAATAATTACCCAAACCACCCAAAGTAGGTTAAACAATGGCCCAAAACCTATAAAGGGCTATTATTCTACATACTTTTGGGGTCCAGGTACCAATGCTATTTTGAGTGAGGGTTCCGTATTATAAATATGGTATCATGGACTCCCAGACCCTACTCTGATCAGTAACGCCCCTACCCTCAAGATCCAAAGCCTGCGCCCTAAACCCCAAACCGAGATTCTCGGATCCAAAGCTGTGGTTTTGGATGTAGGGTTTATCGAGTTTAGGGCTTATAGGGCTTTATAGGGCTCAGAGAGGTTTGGGGTTTAGGCTTCAGCCCTCCACGGCTTTAGGCTTCAGAATTTTGGATCGCTTCCTCTCAAACCTTAAGTTGCCCAATCTAGCCCTGCAGGGTCATCTTGGTCTTTTCTAGGCCAGGCTTAACCATGAAGCAGGTCATGGGTCATCTTCAACCATTGCCCACCCCAACCCCCTAGCACAGAAACTGCAACTCTAAAAGTCCATCCTAGCGAACATGCTAAACCCCAATACCCCACACGACAAAACTTGTAAATATGAAGAGGTGCCTGAGAAAGAGAGTCCTGTATAGAAGCCCTAAACCCCAAAGCCCGACCCGCGAAACCCCACGATCATATGCCACATTTCAGCGGGCGCAGGTGCGGGGAAGTCGCAAAGATGCACAGAAGCAGGAGGCCAGAGGGTTGAGGGTTTGGGGTTCAGGGCATCGGCTTTATGGTGTTTGGGACTTATCGGGTTTAGGTTTAGGGGCTTAGGGTGTAGGGTACGCAAGATTCCCGGAGGTGGCCGTAAAGCTGTGGACTTTCAATGGGTCATGCGCAGTTTCATGAGTTTCATGCGGTTTAATTTGCTGTCATCAGTCTTCCTCCTGTTGGTGGACAAGATCCTGCAATACCCATTATAAGGAATATACCATAGTTTCCATAGTTTAGAGTCCTTAGGGTCATGCAGGATTTTGTCCATCAACAGTCGGTCCACTCAGCCTCCCTACAGACGTATGTCTCGCCTGGATTGTGCGAGTTGTGAGCGCCGAAGTCAAGGTTAAATGGACTCCAGTGACGTTGCATTGTAGAAGCCAGAGTCAGCCAGAGTTTCTCAATCAGGAAAGATCAGATTTGAAGATATGTTTTCTCTCCCTCCCTAGAATTACAGACCGACTTCAGTCAGGCACTTAGCAAGGGTAGTGCCATGGAACCTCAACCTGTTTGAAGGATCAGGGAAGCTGAAACCTTCTGAAACCTTTTTAGAAGAGATTTTTCAGGGTTAGAACCAATGATGAGTGTATTTACCTGAATTGATGCCCTCCTTACGTCCTGTGATCTTATGTACAAGTAAGACTATGCTGGGCGGTTGATAGGATCTGCTTCGGGCGTTTGGAGTTCATCTTGGTGGGGGGCTGTGGGGTTCTCTGCCATTGTGGGTAAAAGGGTTTAGGGCAAAGCTACGACATTATTGGATTTTGGATCCTGCCATTCCGAATGGTCGATGTATGCACATCGTGTGTATGTATGTGTACATATTATATTACATGTGTACATATATATATATATATATATATATATATACATATGCGTGTTCGTGCGCATGCCAGCCTATACCCCGGCCAAGAGAGTCTTAGATTGATCTTCCAGAGCATAAACCCTGCCCTATCCAAGGCCTCGGCACCACAAGACTCAGGCCCGAAACACACACACACACACACACACACACACTGATACCCCCTGAACTACCCTCTAATATAACCCAAACACCTACTATTCAGGGCCATTCGGGCTCCACTACAGGGCCACTGGTGCAGCACTATGATCTAAGGAAGATTCCATAGTTAAGGGACTCTAATCCCGCAAACCAAGAAGTCCACTACACTTCCTACACGCCGCCACATCCCACAATCAAATCGACAAAAGAACGTAATTCCACGCAAGATACTTAAAAGAATAAAAAACTCACAACTTGAAGCCTGATTAAATCCGAGAACCCTAAACTCCAAACCCTAAACCCTCGACGCTATAGCCCTGGCTCCCAAGCCACCGGCAAACCCTAAGATGTGCCCGGCGACAGGCTTTTCCGGGCCACAAGATCCCCAAGGCTGCCTTTGGCTTTAAGGTTTAGGCTTTACGGTTTAGGTTCTCCTTGGCGGTTCTTGAAGCGGCTTTCAAACTTTTGTGGGTTGCTGTCGGGCTGTGGACGGCCTTCAAAGAGGCAATTATTCATTTTCTTATGATTGTAGGGGCCTGCAATTCAGTTTTTTTGATTCTAGCAGGACCTCGGTCGGGGTTTCAAGGCATTGTCATGCGCTCCTCAGGGGTAGTTGAGCTACATGATTTTGGGGTTTCAGGGTTTTGTCATGCGCTTTTTCAGGGTAATTGAGATTTACAGGATCCGGGCTTCGTCGTTTTTGTGTCGTGGTTTCATATGCATTTCATTATCGGCACCCGATGAAGGTTCTACAAAGGGAGTTGACAGTCTCTTCGGGGTTGCTGGTCTTGGGCTGTAGTGTTCAGGGCATGAAGGCTGTGGGACTTTAGGTTTGGCGTTCCTGCAGTTCAAGGCGTGGGGTTGATTTCTGCGGTTAGAGTTCGGGCTTGGCTTGGAGAGTTGTAAGGTTTCGGGATCTATGGCCTTGAGGTTCAGGAGCCTGTGTAAGGAGTTAGGGTGTTAGGGACGGCCTTGCGGTTTGGGGTACTGGCCTTGCAGGGGCTTTTGGGCGGCAGGTGCTTGTAGGCCTTGGACATTTTCGAGTTTCAGGGTGGGTGAACCATGGATTCGGCACTTGGCTGCAGAAGGCTGGGCTTCGCTGTGATGATTCGAGAACATCTGTGCAGATTGCCTGCGAGACAGTGTCGAGATTCCGGCTGGCTTGCAAGCAGTGAACCCTGAACCCGAATCTTTCAGGCTGTATGACACTGAACGAACCTTGAATCCTGAGCAGACCATCCCAAGTATTGGTCCGGCTGTGTTGGGGAACTATGAATCTGCCGAAAGTGTCGCTTAAAGATTGGCCACCGTCGTGGGCACGCCTGGTTGATGGCAAAGGCCCCTGCATTCGGTTCCATACCGACCGCCGTCGGAATAAGTCGTGTCGGTTCTCCCATGGTTGTCCCATTTTGATGGCCAACAATGCGCCGTGCGGCAAGCCTCACCGGGCGGCGGACCACGAAAAGGCTCCGCATTGACTATCCGAGGCTGCGCGGCAGGAGGAGCTCTCTCGTCAATCTCTTCCGGATGCTCCTCCGGATTTTGCAATTCGCGACTCTTGCACTGCCGAGCAAAGTCCATGAATCCTCCTCGTCCCTGCACAAAAACTAGGAGCCCTGAACAGCCCCCCAGTCTTAGGGTTTTTTTGGTAAAAGGACCAGGATCATCGCAATCACAGGTAAGTTGGCCTCCGAAGACTCTTCTCTTCTGTGTGTCCAAGAGCCCCGAGCCATGGTACCCTAAGAGCCCTTAAGAATGAAACCCTAAACCCCGAGGCCTAAAACCTATATAAGCCCTACACCCTAGATCCTAACCCCCCCCCCCCGAAGCCAAAGCCTAACTCCCCAAGGCCAAGATGAAGGGCACCCTTCCTTGAGTCCATGGCCCTTCCGGGTAGCCTTCGAACCCTCGAGCCACTAAAACCCTTACGCCTTACCTTATAACATACCAAAGCAGTGAATGCCTACTCTTTGGAAGTAGGGTACCCATAACTTCCATGTTGGTTTATGCTCAGAACCTGCAACAAAGTGGGATTTGGTAAGGCCCAATAATCCATGAAGCTTAGGATTCAGGGGTTCAGGGTTTGAGAGCTCGCATTTGGAGCTTGGCTGAAGGGATTTAGGGTTAAGTGCATTGCAGTCCCTGCCCAAAAGGGGTTTCGAATGCTTGAACTGAACCGAAGGACAGCGTGCACCTGGGTGACCTCGGCTTCGTCGCTTGGGGCGTCTCGGGTCTCAGAAACCGGTCGTTGGATCGTTAGGGGTCAGGGCTTACGGTCTAGTGGGGCTTGCACTTGGAGGAGGTTTGAGTTTTTTGTGTGGCGTATGGGGTTTGGAGTTTTAGGTTAGCTTGGGTTTTTTTGAAAAATAAATTTGGTTTGGGTTAGTTTTGGGTTTGGGCCCAGAGTTTTTGGGGGGTTTTGGGGTTTGAATGTGGCCAACGACAGCCCTAAGACCCCGATGCCGTGGAACGGAGTATCCTGAGTTTGGGGTTTAGTGTAGAGCCCTGATAAATATACGTCCCGTACACGAAAATGGAGCATTATCGGTATTACTATGTTAATGCCATTAGTTAATGTTGAGGAAAGGGTTTCTACACGGCGCACATGAGGGTTTATACGATTTGCGGGGTGCCCGGTACAAGAAATCATAACATGGTGAGTCTGAAGAGCTGTTTGTTTAGTTGCTAAGGCTCCTACCTGGTGACACGCAAAGCGACACTGAATCGTAAATGCCGTAAACCTTTTACCCCAAGCCCGATGATCCCTTACTCCCAGCACGAACCCTAAACCTTTTAGCACCCCGCCACAGTATATTCGGTTAAACCCGATTAATTACTGGCGCAAGTAAAATGAGGAGCTTTTGTAAGCTACCCTACAGTGCTGTCGATTCAGTCGACCGGCTGCGTGCGATTTTTTCGCCTGCCAACCAGGGGGTGCTCCTGCACACCGTGCGGTGCTCATCAACGACGACATTCCGCATCCAGGAGTGAACGCCGTATTCGGACGGAGGGTGATGCCTCAACCACCTCCGAACGGCTCGGACGAGACTTTGTGGTTGATTGAGATCGACCACCGACAGATTTTTCTGTACTGACGCCTGACGCGGGCTCGATGGTGGGCAACTGGAGATCTGCAGGGCCCGGCAAGTCTGCACGTTTCACGGCCTCATGTCATGAGGGGTTCCGCTCTAGTTCCTCTACATGTGCCTAAGCAAGCTGAGCAGAAGATGTTAAAGAACTCAGCTATGGTGTTAGGAATTCCTCCTCTGTAGCCGCACAGGCTCATCCAGGGTGTTACACTCCTTCACATCTTGAAACCCTCTGAAAAGCTTCATAAACTTCACAACAACCCAGGTAATTATTTCCCAGGGACCCTAAACCTTAATCCCTAAAACCCCCTGGTGAAATTAGTTCCTTGGGCTCCTGAAAAGCGAGTCTGTTGAGGTCTGGTCTCGTCCGGCCAGTGCTGGCAGCTTTGAAGGCCAGATCGCGCTGCATCTTTTGAGGGTGTGGAGGGGGGTGTTTGGGGGTTTAGCGTTTAGGGGCAGAGTCCTTTCGGGGGGAACCCTGAACCCCAAACCCTCATAGAGCCATAAACACGACATGGACACCCCCTTATAAAGCCCCTTGGACCTGCAAGGAAAATGCGATACAAGGACGAGTGTCCTTCCTTGAGAAACCTGACTGGAAGATCAAGGCTCGAGGCATCATAATCATAATCAGAGATCCAAAAAGGCACATAAGCATAGGCATTTTATAGGGGCATTCCTACCTTATTGGGTTTCATTATAAGGGGGGTTATATGGGATATCCCTATCCTAATTGTTGCTTATGTGCTCATTTGGTGCCTTGTCATAAGTAACCATAAATTGGCCGCTACGTGCACATCGCTGCAGATCAATCCCAGAAGGATCCCGGTTCCTAGTACTGTACGTGTAGGTTAAAGAGCAAAGAGACAAAGATACACAAAAGGAGTTCCCGAAAATTAGGGGTACCTTATTTTGGGGTCCTTATGAAAACAGGAACCCACTGTTTAGGGTACTATATTACGGTCCCCGATTTCTGTAAACTCCAACAAGCTCAACATGAGAGAGGTCTGAGAGCTTCAAGCTATGCCGTTCTAGGCCACTGCAAACGGAAAAGGCTCTTACTAGATACAGAACCTGGTTACCAGCGACGGGTGTTTGATCTTCTACACTCCTCGAATTTCGGAGAGGATCTTGATTATGATGCAAGGTAAGTTCCGGGATAGCAAGTCTCTGTGGCTCCAGGGCAACCTGACGAAGAGCGTTACGAGCTCATCATGGCGGCTGGCCCAGGTTCTTGTGATTTTTGTTTTTAGAGTTTGGCGCTTTGCTGCATTACTGTAGGGGTCCTGACAGAAGTCTCGTTTAAGTCTACCAGGGTTCTGCAAGGGTTCTTTAAGGCTTCTACTATAAGAGTTTTATCACACTTCAAACCCTAAACCCTAAACCCTGAAACCCTAAACCCCTATCCGGAGTTGAGCGTTCAGGGGTTGGTCGCCGGCCCAGCTCGAGGCTCAAGGTCTGCCTTAACCCTGAATAACCCGCCGTTTTAGGGTTCCCTATCAAGAATTCCTTATATAAGTCCTGAAAGCGGTAGCTTCTTCAGGGTTAAGGTAGAATCTGTTGAATTTCTGGCTGAGGGTTGAAGGTTGATTAGGGTTTTGGGGTTTAGAGCTTAGGGTGTTGGGGTTTAGAGTTTAGGGTTTTGGGGTTTAGGGTCTGGGGTTCAGGGTTCAGGGTTTTGGGTTAGGGGTTTTTAGGTTGGGGGTTTTGGAGTTTAGGTTGAGCGTTTCCTGAGCTAAGCATGACGCATCGTGAACCCAAAACCTTCCCGCGGGCCCAGGGTGTTTCAAATGGGGAGTTGGGATACCGTGCTTGCGGGCATTGACAGCGGCTAGGGGTCGAAAGACTCCATGGAGCATGGGAGAGCCAACAAGTTCTCCGGAGGATCCTCTAAGATAGAGGATGCATGGAGCAGTTCTAGGTTCCGCATCTTCCGGAAGTTCAGAGAAGCTGGTTGCTTGGGTTTAAGAAGGTTTAAGAACAACAGGAGCTATGATCATCATTTATTAATGCAACTATTACTGCTGAGAGGTGCACAAGCAGTGGCCGCCGAGCTACAGTTGGCCGGCTTCTTGGATCGTTGCCTACAAGCAACTCGCCGAAGAACTCGAACGAACGGCTACTGCAGGCATGGATTGCCGGTCGGGCTTTCCCGCGACTGACTCAAGTTCGTGCAGCACCAGATGGGACTGGCTCGAAGCTGCTGAGTGGAATATACCTTGGACCCGTCAGACTCCTTTGGACTCTGGACCATGCATCTATCGAACTCGGTACGGTCGCCTTTCGCAGCCTGCCCCTTAGATCCTGGCCAGATCTAAGAAGTCACTGTTATTATTTGTGTAAAGCTTGGGCAGAAAAGTGGCTGCTCATGAGTGCATTGCTCGGCTTCCGCCGCAGTCAAGGTGTTTGGGGATCGAGGGCTAGCTAGCCTGACTTGAGCCCAGTGGGAGAAAGGGTTCAAGATCTTACCGGTTGGGATCTATGTTAGGGCCCCCTTTGGTCGAAGCTCTCATACGGCAGCGGGCTCCTAAACCGAAGTATATAGCGGTTCCAGAACCCACCATACCCCAAGTAAGCACTAAACCTCTTTGGGGTGGCACGCCCAGGTCGTACGGCGTGGTCTGAAGAGGCTGGAATCTTCTCAAAGTAGGGGGCACATGAAAGCCTCAAAACAGTATATATTATATATTGTATGCGTATGTTTCTGGCTTTGGGTTTTGACTTTCAGGATCGAGGCATGCGGGTTTGAGTTCGCTTTCGTTCGGTAGTACTTCAACATCTCTATTTCCCCCTCGCGGGTGTCATGAATAGCTACCCTGCATGAACCCCATCCTGAACCCGAAGACCCAGCCATACATCCTAAGCATTTTCCAAGAGTTAGTGCTGTCTCCACGGGGAATGCAGACCTATGTCGGAGTTCCTTCGCCGTAATTAGTTGATTTCCCAGGGTCCTCTTGGATTTCAATGGTCTGTCATAAAGGATTGTAAGGGGCTTTGCAGGTTTGCAATGGCTTCATAAATGGGGTTATGCAAAAGTTCGTGTGCTAGGCAGAGAGGTTCCCGGATGAGAAGTGGCCCGATGCTCCACGATTCCAACCCTAAACCCCTAAACCCCTTAATCCCAAGCCCGTAAACCCTAAACCCCAACATTGAGTCCGAGGAGGAAAAGGGCCGTTCAAAAAAAATGCCGTAAAGCCCTTAAATCCCAAAACCCTACACCGGATGCAGGCATCTTCGGGCCTCGGACATGCGGCTCAACGAGTCTTTGACTTAAATACTGTTATTGTACTTAGATTACAGTCTCCTTGAGAATCTTTCAAATATCATGGTTCTAAGTGGGGCATAGTAGCAGTCTGGTTTAGCGTTTAGATAGATCTGTTATTCGGAGCCATGGCGTCTACTGATGACCAGTTGCTGCGCGTGGCCTGTCTCGAACCTTGGTCGCCGCAAGCTCTGCAGGGTCAACTCTTGGGTTGAGGGCTCAAGGCTCACGCGTCGATTTGAGGGTCTTCGTAGCGGAGTGGATACACTTTACACTTTTCGGGATATGATTACTATTACCCACTATAGACCTGATTACCCACTATACACCTGAAAGTGTACACTTTTGGGGGCTTATGAACTCCGCAACTAAGTTGCTGTAACATATACGTTGTGGGGAACAAGCGGTATGCGGTAGGTTTGTGCTCGCTCCTTTGTAAACTCAGCTTCACCTGCGGACGTCATGCCAAATTCGAGAGGGCTGCAGGTGAAGGGTTTCGCTTTAATCGTGTGGGTGTAGGGGAAGAAGTGCAACATATAGTCTTGATGTGGGTAAGGTATTTTGGGGTCCTTATAATAAGGATCCTGCAATTTAGGGTGCCATATTAGGGTCCCCTATTTTCGGAAACTCCCATATTCCGTTTGGGGCTTGTCGGTGAAGTGTTGCACATCACTCTCCAGCCAGTCCAGTCAGTACAGCAAATCCTGTACCACGATGGTCTGTTGTTTCATCGACGCACAATGAAACACATGAAGCACTTCAGCAACCTCTACGTCATGAAGGAAGCTCGGAAGCGTACATTCTATAGATCTGGTTTTCTACACCCTTCTCCACATACTGACAACAGCAGGTACAACTGTACTGTAGCTTTAGGTTGCAAAAGTTGAAGCAGAACCTATCAGATTTCTAGAGCACTCAATGTACTGGCGAGCCGGTCAGTCGCTCAAAGGCTGTTGTATTCGCGGGCGGTTCTGTTGTCCTGGAGCCGCAGTGGTCATTCGACTCTCATGGCCCTAAACCCTAAACCCTAAACCACTCATGGCCCATGGCGGTTGCAGGATTGCATCAACGCCTGGTGTACGGGCACGCCGTCTCCGAGCATGCTCGAGGCTGCTCCCCACATGGCTCGGGCTTCAGGATGAGAAGGTGTAGGCTCTTAAGGATCAGAGCGCTCAAGATGTCGAGGGTTTCGGGCTGAGGGTGTTGTCAGATTTCGGGTTCAGGGTTTAGTTAGGGCTGCAGTTTGGCCAGGGTTCCTAAAATAAGGGGTGCTTGGACCCCTCGGGGCATGGATTGAAAGGATAGGGCGGACAGGGCTTGAAGGCTTGAACCCAAAGGCTCCATGTACCCATATAGTAGATACGTAGGGCTTACAGTACCTATATAGGGACCCCTTTAAGGCTAAAGCATCTACTATGAAGGTACATGGAGCCTTGGGGAAATGAATTGACGGGGGGCCAGGCTTCAGCGCTTATTCGGGCTTGGTCTGCGACTCTAAATGTAGTGTAAGGAGAATTTACGGTCTGTCGGGCTTCAGGCTTAAAAGGCTTCAGCTAGGGATTGGTATGCTCAAGACTCAGGAAATTCGGCTGTCACGCCTGAGTGATAGAATGATATATCCATTGATGCTGCACCCTAAACCCTGAACGTGCCCTGAACCCAAGCCCCACTATATACCCCGAAAGGCCACCCCTAAGGGTCCAAGTATCACTATTGTATCCTTAGTCGATATTGGGGTTTCCGAAAATAGGGGACCCTCATCTAGTAACCTAAATAGTAGGCTCCTTAGATAAGGACCCCAAATAATGTACTCCCCATTTTCGGAAACTCCCCTATTTGGACACCCGAAGATGTTAGAATGCCCAACTTCCCAGCCGGGAAGCCCCTCTAGTTTTTTGTCTTTGCTTTTTGAAACCCCATAAAGGGTGCCTATCAGGCTACAAGGTTCTGAGATAGAGTACCCTTCATAAGGGTCCTATAGGGTTCTGTAGAGTCCCCATATAAAGGAAGCTTCACATACTATTTATTTGTCATATTTGTAGAGAATTTGTATATACAGGTGTGAACAGAAGCCTGTGCACATAGATGTTCATGTACCTACCTACCTACCTACACGTACCTACCTACCTACCCTTCGCTTACTCTCCCTTACCTTTGCTTTCTACCAGCGTGCTTACCTAGGTATCTAGGCACGGTAGTGAGTAAGTATGTATGTAACGTAAGTATTTAGCATGTATGTCTTATAAGTGCTGTTTCAAGAGGCATGTCAGTGTTACTCTTTCCCGCCCACCGCAAACCCCAGCACAGCGTGAGGGCTGTTCTGTCCTTCACGTGGAGCTGGATGGCAACTATAAAAGCTGCACCGGTGCAGAGCTGCTTAGCTTGGAGTCTAGAGTTTACGCTTAGGGCAAGTGCAAGGGATCACCCTCTCCAAAAACTATCAAGATCCAATGCTCTGACCGTCTTACCCTACCTGTCTCGGCCAGTCGTTCGAAGCTCTGTTTCGTTGTTTGGGGTTCACATTTGTGAGTGGTTCGTTTGATTTGTTCTCAATCGGGCTCAATCGTTCACCAGCTTTACCAATAGGCCCCAAGGTAGTTCCTTTTGGGGATTACCTCATAGGGTTCTACATATGAACTCCAAAAGGAACTACTTTGGGGGCTTAGGGTAGCTTCAGGTCCCTTGAAGTGCAGTTGTAGAGCTGGAGCGCAGCCTGGAGGTTCTTGCTGGGATGCCCCAATAGCCTTAGGCTCTTAACACTTTTATAGGAAAGGTTGAGGATGCATTGCAAAAAGTGGGCTGGAGCCCCAAACCCTAAACCCTAAACCCTGAGCTGGAGCTTTGGCCACGTAATCAAGATTTTCGACCGAGAAGCCCGCTTACGGTAAGCCCAAACCCTCAGCCCTGATCTGGTCGACATGACCCTCCCTCATTGGGTGTAGGGTTCCTTTAAAGGGATCTATTTAAAGGGATCTACAAGGGTTCCATTTAGGGTTTAGGGTTTCCCCCCCTATTTCAGAAACCCTCAGTTGTAGCCCGCTTGCTAGGTCTCCTGATTGCTGCCAGTAGGGTCAAGTCTTCTTCGACCTCCGACCCGCCTTGCTTCCGGGGCCCTAGCATGACTCATCTTACCTTTGGTTAGTAGGGAATGGAGGAATGGCGTACAATTACAACTTCTATCACTACCATTCTTCCCTAAATCCCTACAACAAACCCTAAACCCTGAGCCCTAAACCCTATTACTGCCATCGATCCATTCCCTACTAACCAAAAGTAAGTCATGGAGTCGTCGAGGTCTTTACGAGCGGATTTGGGCCATTTTTGGGCCTTTGGTTCAGGGTGCTGCAGCATGTGAAACTTCGAACGTCATATGCTTGAAATCCAAAGGCTCCATGTACCTTTATAGTAGATACTTAGGCCTTAAAGTACCTACATAGGGACCCCTTTAAGGCTTAAGTATCTACTACAAAGGTACATGGAGCCTTTGGGAAACTGAAGACAAGCAACATTGAGACAGGCCCAATGCTGCCGCAAAGAAGCAATGCGTATACAATCTGCATTCAGAACGTCTGTTGATCGAGTCTACAATTCATGTTCATCGGGCAAACAGTAGTTTCCAACACAAGCCGGGGTCAGGCAGTTATTGGGTTTAGGCTTCAAGCGCCGGGTGCGGGTTTAAGGTTGAGGGCTTGAGGTGTGGGGCTTCGAATTCCGCGGGCATCCGTTCGAGAGCCTCCCGTAATTACCTGGAACCTGAGTTAACGTCGACGGCAAGAATGCTCAGGACAGAACTGGGATCGGCGACCGCTTATAAGACATCGAAGGAAGACTGACAGAACCCGCCAAGCCACAAACCCTGAAACCCAGAAATGATAGCCTGACCCGTAGACCTCGCAGCAAAGAAGTCAGTAGAGCTGGATCCCAACATGCTTTGTGAATCCCCAAACTGTCAACGAACACCGCTTGCCTTGGCAATAAACAAACTCTAAGCCCTAAACCCCAACAAGCAACCTTGAACCCGAAGCTGCAATCAATACCACAGGGGCCGTAATAACTATCTATGCTGTTGCTTTTTGTGGGTGGTGCCCCTTATGGTAAGTATTGCATAATGCACCGTTGCAGTAGTACCGTTGCAAGGTATGCGCTTCCTCCTGGGTCCTCTGCGGCTCAGGCGGTCATTGAGATGGTAAGAGTCCTGCAGACGGGCAGCCGCTTGGCACGCCGAAGGCTTCAACGGTTCGTCTAAGCTTCAAGAAGAAGCAAGAAGAAGATCTCCGATCATGATGGTCATTGCAGGCATGAATCTGTGAATAACTAGTTGTAATTAAGTGCTATCGATGCTTATGCTTCAGTTTTGTGAGCAACCT